GCCCTCAAAGGATGATTATGGCTTAAAGTCTCCCTGGACTCACCTGTACTAAGATGTAAGGTGCCAAGAGTACTAAGACATTCTTGCAGTCTATCAGCTGAATCTAATGGAGTGAAGAAGCTTTACAGTCAAGGGTGAAGCAGGCTGCCCCAGTAATAGCCAATTTATTAGGATAATCTTGCCAAGCACTGTTCAGCCTATGCCAAAGCTTCTGTTTGCCAGCAGCTCCTCCTTTTTACTCCTGCCCAAATAGACAAGTGTGAGCAGCCACTTTAGTAACTAATATGTGATATTAATACATGTGACTGTCTAATACAGGAGTAACATACATTCTTTGTAGCAAATCAGAGCCAAATCCATTTGGCATCTGAACGGACGTCAAGCAAGGATACATCATCACCCTAATTCTATTCTCTGTTTTTTTTTTTACTATCACCCTGACTCTCATTCAAGACCACTTTCCTTCTGAAATTGACATTGAATGCTGAACAGATGGAGGGCTTTTCAATCTGGGATGTTTTTGCTCAATGACCAAAGTATTGAAAAAAACCATTCTTGACCTTCAATAAGTTGATAATTGCTCACACTAAGGAAAATTTCCTGACTGCTCTGGATTTTTTCACAGAAGCCTATTGAAGTCATCAGCGATCTGGATGATGGGGTGGAAAATAACCTGTTTAAATTCGCTGATGACACGAAAATTTGGGGGGAGGTGAGCACGCTAGCAAGGAGTGAGAGATTGCAGAGGGATCTGGATAGGTTACAGGGGTGGGCTAACAGGAACAGGATGCGTTTCAATACGGACAAGTGCAGGGTGCTGCACTTGGGCAGTAGGAACCAGCAGCACACTTACACAATGGGGAACTCCCTACTTGAGAGCACGGAGGCAGAAAGAGATCTTGGAGTCATTATAGACTCCAAGATGAACATGGGCCGACAATGCGAGGTCATGGTTGGCAGGGCTAACCGGACCTTGTCGTGCATCCACAGGTGCATCTCGAGTAGAGCCAAGGAGGTGATCCTCCCCCTCTACGCGACGCTGGTCAGGCCACAGCTGGAGTATTGTGTCCAGTTCTGTGCGCCCCATTTCAAGAGGGATGTGGACAACATGGAGAGGGTCCAGAGGAGGGCCACCCGCATGATCCGGGGACAACAGGGCAGACCCTACAGTGAGAGACTGCGGGACCTGAACCTATTCAGCCTCCACAAGAGAAGGCTGAGGGGGGACCTGGTGACCGTCTATAAACTCACTAGGGGGGACCAGAAGGGTTTGGGGGAGACGCTGTTTCCCCTAGCGCCCGCTGGCATAACAAGGAGTAATGGGCACAAGTTGATGGAGAGGAGGTATAGATTGGACATCCGCAAAAACTACTTCACAGTTAGGGCGGCTAGGAGCTGGAACCAACTTCCAAGGGAAGTGGTGCTGGCCCCTACCCTGGGGGTCTTTAAGAAGAGGCTGGATGCCTACCTGGCTGGACTCATTTGAGTCCCGTTTCTTGTTTTGGGGTTTTGTTGTTCTCCCGCCCTGGCGGGGGGTCGGGCTAGAAGATCTACTAGGTCCCTTCTGACCCTAAATCTATGAAACTATGAAACTATGAAACTATGAACTTTGGGCCTCTCTCTCAACATCAATATTAGAGTGCCCTATCAGTCTCCTCCAGGCCATGAATGTGGCCCCCTCCTTGCATTTCCATCTAGGGAAAGATACTGGAGATAGTTGAGCACTTTACCTTGGTAGCCACTCATCTCAGAGAGTGAACATTGATGAGACGATTCAGAACAAAATCCAATGCACAAATGCCTTCTTTGTGAAATTGCTTTAGTCTGACCTGGGGGGTCATCACTGACCACAAGATGAACGTGAGCCTTCAATGCGATGCTGTGGCTATTAAAGCGATCAAAACGCTAGCTTGCATCCATAGATGCTTCTCAAGCAAATCCAAGTACAGGGAGACATCATTCTCCCCTTGTATTCAGCCTTGGTGACGCCACAGCTGGCGTACTGCATCCAGTTTT